TCGACACGTGTTCCAATTACCAAGTGATCATCTTCAAGAGAAAGATTAAACTGAACTGATTAGTTTAATTTAATTCAGTAGTTCAGTTTATTACTGGAGTTCTATCCCAACACCAAACCGTTATTTTCAACACCTCGACACGTGTTTTAATTACCAAGTGATAATCTTCAAGATAGATTAAACTAAACTGATTAGTTTAATTTAATTCAGTAATTTAGTTTATTACTGGAGTTCTATCTCAACACCAAACCGTTATTTTTAACACCTCGACACGTGTTTCAATTACCAAGTGATCATCTTCAAGAGGAAGATTAAACTGAACTGATTAGTTTAATTTAATTTAGTAATATAGTTTAGTACTGGAGTTTTATCCCAACATCTAACCATTATTTTTAACACCACGACACGTGTTTCAATCACCAAGTGAGCATCTTCAAACGGAAGATTGAACTAAACTGATTAGTTTAATTTAGTTTAGTTTTAGTTTAATATTCCTCTTGTTTGATCACTTGGTGATTAAAACACGTGCCGACGTGTTAAAAATAACGGTTTGGTGTTAGGATATACTCTAGTAATATTCATTACTACATCAAAGTTTCCAAACAGTGCATCACGTTTTTCGAGAACCTGTGTATGTATTTATATTTTATGTCGATTTTATTTACTTCACCCTTTTTAAACTCGGAAAGCCGCCCTAAATGTAAGTACTCTTCAACGTTCTCTTCTGTAGAGTGTTCGTATTTGCTGATGAGTTGCTCAGCATTATTGCCTGCTATGGTTATCGTTGTATCATCAGCAAACATTGTGACGTAGATCATTAACATAGAGAAGAAACAGTAGAGGTCCTAGAACAGAGCCCTGTGGCACCCCGAGTTTTACCGTCTTTGACTCAGATGTAACTCCATTGCAGATCACAACCATTTCTCTGTTTGTCATATAGGATTGTATCCAATTTATTATATTTCGTGGAAACCCGAACAATGACAGTTTTTTTATGAGAAATTCCGCGCATACTGTACGCTTTTGATAGATCGAAAAATAGTGAGATCACATAATTTTTTTTATCAATCTCTGTGTAAATATAATTCAGAAGATGATAGGAAGCTGTTTCTATAGATTTATTTTTCCTGAAACCATGCTGAGACATACATAACAGCCTATTTGATTCCAAATGATCCATAACCCTACGTGCTACAAGTTTTTCAAATAATTTAGATCAACAACGATTGTTGTTTTACATAATTCATTTTGTTTTCAACAAAACTACATTCTACAATCCCATTTTAATATGTATGTCTTATTCTTATACTTCAGATTCCTGAAAATAAACCAATAAAGTTTCGAAAATTCGACAATTCAGCAATTGGTTTTCTTCAACATTTCGACCGAATTTCAGCCAACTTGTCAATCGAAATCATATTCAACGGTCGCCATCCTAATCAGCTACAAATATAAAATGGTAATGACGCGGTAGATTTTTTTCTGTAGTAAAATATATGACGTATTCAATCAGTACCTCAAATGAAGAATAAAAAAGTGAGTTTCCTGTTTAGTTTACTTATGAAGTGAAAAAATGTTTGAAACGGAAAAATGAACTAATAAAGTTGAAAAATCTATTCAACTATTATTTACAGCTATATGTTGAAGAGATAGGAACATTGATACGTGCTATAAAGAATACATGACAAATGTATGAAATTCAATTGATAATGATTTAAAACACTTCTGGTCATATACGAAAAACAACAAGAAAACTAATAAATCGTCTCCCATACTTAAGCTACAGGGCTCCCCAAGTGAAACTGAGACTGCAGTTATTTTTTGGAAGTATTTTCAGTCTCCAGTAATGACCAGGCGACTTACAGCCTCAACTTCGATGATGGTGATATTGAAAGTCGCCTCACAATCAATGCAGTAACCGACCACGATTACTTTGAAGCCTTGAAAAAACTTGAGCAAAAAAATCTATAGGAAGTGATAAAATACCACCATAAATTGTTGAAAGATGTGGAGTGTGTGAAGCAACCTATTCTCTATATCTATAATCTATTATTGAAATCGAATACGTTTCCAGACTAAACTTGTGGCCCACTTGTTCGGCACAGCATAGCACGGCCCATCCTGTCAAAAACGGATAGGATTAGAACAATGAAAATGAATGGACAACCGCCCACTAGCCCGGCACGGCACAGACAAGAGCGTCCGCCGCCGGAAAGGATTCCAGCTCTCCGATCCTGTCCGGCAAATAACGGTACGTGCTGTGACGGACTGGCCAAGTGAGCGCTTCGCCGGTCAGAGTTAGCCAGCATCAAACTTTCCAAATGTGCCTGGGAAGTTTATGTCTCTCTGTTTTGCTATTCCATCTGTTGACAGCACAGTGTCAGACGATACCTATGAAAATGGACGAGGAAAAATTGAGTCGCCTGTTAAGGCAGGGATGGGCCCACACCATTCTTTTCTGTGCTTCTTTCCATAAAGCTTGTCGCTCACTTGTCCGGCACAGCACAGCACGGCGCTGTCCGTCGCCTGATGGCGACGGGTAGTAGCATCGCCTACTTGTCCAGCTGAAACCAGCAAACTGAAGGTGATGTTTGTTCGATTTCAAGGAAATTTCACTTGACATCGAGCGGTGACAGAAACATGTCTATCAGTAGCAGTACTGACGAAGAAGTCGTCATTATAGTGGCCGCATTCTTGAATGTAGAAGTAAATATTCACAAAAAGAATGTTGTGGGTTCATCTCATTAATCAAAAGGGGGTAAATCTGGGAGAGTTTCATCATCTTTTCAACGATCTGAAAGAAGACGAGGAGAAATTTTTTCAGTACTTCCAAAGGACGAATAGCAAAACAGAGAGACAGAAACTTCTCAGGCACGTTTGGACAAGTTGATTCTATCAAGCGCTGGCTGGCGACGCGCTCACTTGGCCAGTCCGTCACAGCACATACCGTTATTTGCCGGACAGGATCGGAGAGCTGAACCTTCCCGACGGCGGTCGCTCTTCGCTGTGCCGTGCCGGACTAGTGGGCGATTGTCCATTTCATTGTTCCAGTCCTATATGTTATTTGACGGGACGGGCCGTGCTCTGCTGTGCCGGACAAGTGGGCGACAAGCTTTGTGGACGAGTTTTGGCGAAAACATGATGAACAGCATGGATTTGTTCCAAAAAAGTCGACATCAACACATCTTCTAACATTCACTCATCATGTTCTCAACCATCTAGATAAAAAAACAGGTCAGTATTATTCATACAGACTTTCAGAAGGCATTTGATAAAGTTAATCATGATGTAATATTGGAAAAGTTTCATAGACATGGCGCGGATAACCAAGCACTCAAATTGCTGGCATCGTATTTGACACTTCAGAGTTAAATATGGGGGTACTTGAACAGGGAAATTTCGCGCAAACTCTGAAGCCCCTCAATTATCAAACCTGGGTCCACGAGTTTTTCTATATTCATCAATGATCTAACTCAAAATTCAAAGTACTCTGAGTGTCTGTAAATAGCAGACGACCTTAAATTTTATAGGCAGATCGAAAACTCACAAGACGGTGTCAAATTACAAGAGAACATCAATAGTGTTCATCGATGGAGTGTAAAAAATGAGCTCCCGTTCAATATATCCAAATGGTTTGTCCTGTCTTTTAATAGAAAACTAACTAGGACACTATATACAATTACTCGATGAATAGTATTAAATTATCCAGGGAAGAGACAGTCAAATATTTGGGTATATACTATAGCCCTACACTCGCGTATAAACCACATTTGGATTACATAGCATCTCAGGCACTTCGAATTATGGAATTTGTAATGAGACAAAGTGCACATTTCAATGACATTAAAGCGATTACTACAATATATAATAGTTTGGTCAGACCTAAACTTGAATATGGGGCTATAGTCTGGCATCCTTCTCAAATTTTTCACAAAAATAGATTTCAAAAAATTCAAAAGATTTTTGAGATATTTATATTGAAAAAAATATAAAGTATACCCAAACTATAATACAGTTAGATTAGTAACACTACGAAATGAATTTGAAATACCCAGTCTAAAAAATGGAAGACAGGCAAGTATAGTGTTAATAAGTTGCAAAATATATAAAAAAATTATAACTGCCCCAATCTCAAATCTTTACGCAAAGAGATAATTCTCAAAAGATACGTAATTTTATTGCCTAAATTTTTTGTTTCGACCTTTTTTTCATATAATTTCATATTTTCGAGATACATTCAAAAAAAGGATTTTTGGGGTAGTTATTATTCATGTTCTATCCCCTAAATGAAATTCAACATTTTTTAACTATAAATCCTTTGAATGTATGCTAAAATCAAGTTATATTGAAAAATGCAACCTTACCTTTTGCAAGGTAATTTAAATCCTCATTTTATTGGACTATATGGAATTGTGGAATTGGCCGCAGTGGTAGTGCGCCCGACTCACGATCGGAAGACCGTTGGTTCGATTCTCGCCTCGACCAGATATTTTTCTCGAGAGAATATATATGGTTGAAGCTGGAATGATTCTTCAACCGTGTTAGGAATCACACGTTAAAAGGTAAGACCTCTTTAGTCCTTAGCTCGCACAAGTTTCTCAACTTCTGAGAGTTGTCGTTCGTATGGGGACGACAGCTGATTAACGGAAAAACAGATTTTGATCAGATTTTTTGAACAGATATTTATGTACCATAATATATCAACAATTCAACGTTCACTCGTCATTAGAATGATCAAAACATCAAACAACTTCCTGTTAATGTCAGAGATCAACTTTGTTCTCCCTCACAAAGAAGTTTACCGTGGATTTTAAACATACTTTTCAAGCTCAGAACAACTTCTATCCGGCTTTATATAGTACCTAGATTCAGTGCTAGTGTATTCACATATAAATATTAACTGGATTGAAAAAATCTTACTATCAGTGGAAGAATATTCGAAACTAATTTTGATTATTTATGCTTTATAATGAGTTGAAAAACAATTTTGGGCTCTGTACTTTTATTAGTTTGTAAGTTAATTCGTTCTTCTGTTGGAAATATTTGATTAAATTTAGATTTAGGAAAGATAAAAAAATATTTCTCAACTATTTTGTTTACAAGTGCAATTGTTATAGATGGATGATTCTCCGATACAAAAAACAGAAAGTTCCTGTAAAGTTTGCGGCGATAAAGCATCCGGAAAACATTATGGAGTGCCAAGTTGTGACGGTTGTAGGGGATTTTTCAAACGAAGTATACGAAGGTGAGTTTTTTAAGGAGATTATTGTAGATTCGTGTTTTTTAAACTTCTGTATAATTGGAAACACCTTGTCGAAGGTTTTATAAAATTATTTGTAAATGGATAATTTATTTCATTCAACCAACACAAGACCAATTCACATCACTGTTCGGTTTATTCCCTAACCGTTTGTATTCTGTAAGCATGAATATGTGTCAATTTTTTCCTATGAAAAAGTCCATTTTTCACCATTTTGGAAATATTTTGGTATATCTGAAATTGTATTGTATTTTCATTTGCATGATATAAATTATATCATATCATACTGTATAATACTCAGAAAACTGAATTTAATTTTATAGTGCCTCTACATAAAAACAAACCCATAATAAATCTAAAAGTGAAAAATAGTAAATTCAGATGACAATACTTGTTTTTTCAGCAGTATTTGGATTATTTTTATGATTTAAATCACGATTTACTCATCTTTCTACATAATCACAACAAAATCTGCTTCAGTACCGTACAAAAAATATTCGTACGATGTTTGTGATTGCTCGTAATCAAGTAATAATTTATAACTATCTAACTTCTGAATCTTTTCGTTAAAGATTGAATAATTATTTTCAGAAATCTTGAATACATCTGCAAAGAAAATGGCCATTGTATCGTTGACGTAACCAGGAGAAATCAATGTCAGGCTTGTAGGTTCAAAAAATGTCTCCAAGTGAATATGAAACGAGATGGTAAGTTGATTTGATAGATATAAATTAAATAAGTATTTTCCATTTTTCATTTGTATGAAACAAGTATTCTGTTCTATTGATGACCTTTTCATTTTGTAGAAATTCATGTTGAATATAGGATAAAGAAAATAGCTTTCGTCTGATTTCAACTACGATTTTTATTTGTTACGAGCGGTTTCGGTATGTTAGGTCATTTTCAAGTAACTAAAGTATTTTTCATAAACAAATTTTTAAATACACAATGAAATAGTAGGTATATGTACTTTTTGTACCTAAAATAACAAAATGTTACCTGAATCATCTATACCACTACCAAAACAATAATTATTGCACTTATGAAGAATTTTCATGTTTTCTTCATTTATTGTGTGGTCTCTATATGTGCAATAAAGGAAGGGAGATGATTTTATTGGAAGCATTGGAAATAAATAAATTGTATAAAAATTCCAATTTCAAAACCGTCAGTGACCAACTAAAACAGTATACGACTGTTACAAAAGCAATGAGATTCATACAACTGAAATCATAAGGAAGAAATTGAATACTTCCGGCCATAACGTGAGCTGCTGTGACAAAACTCTTCAGAATTGGATAAAAAAACTAGGATTAAGATTTAAAATGATAAACAAACGTCAAGTAGTTATGGAAAGCAGAAGAATAGTGGAATTGCGTTACAAATACTTAGAACAAATAACTAAATAAAGACAAAAACAACGGCAAATTTTCTATTTGGACGAAACTCGGTATGACACTCACGACACAGTTATGAAAGGGTGGACTGTTGGTTCGGGAATATGTACGCCTAACATGCTTACAAACGAAGGATCGCGACTGAATCTGCATTGTGAAGAAAGTAAAGGATGGGTTCCTAATTCTTTGAAATTATGTGGAAAAAACTTCAGGACTGTAATGTTGACTATCATAAGAACATGGAAGCTTATATTTTCGAGAAATGGTTTGAAAACACATTGATCACAAATTTGGATGCGAATAGTGTAATAATTCTTGAAAACGTTTCCTATCATTCGCGACAGCTCATCAAAGTAACGAATAAAAATTCGAGGAAAGATGAAACACAAAGTTTTTTAATGGATAACAATTTGTATTTTGAAAATTACTGTACCAAAAACCAACTACTTGAAGTTTTACAGACAAAAACATTTGAAAAAGTATATGCCCTTGAGAGTATTACTGAAAAGAATGGACACACCATACTGAGACTTCCCTCTATTTTTGTGTTTTCAATCCCATCGAGTTGATATGGAGAAAATTGAAACAAAGCATCAGGCGTAAAAAAATCATTTTCCAAAATTTGATAAGAAGGTAATAGAGCTAATTGAAGAAGAAGTATCTAATAATACCTAGGAATACTGGCAGAAAAGGATTGATAAAGTAATTTTAGTTGAAAAAGACTATATGGAGATTGGACACTTCCATATTAATTCATTATTGATTTAAATGACGACAGCGATAGTGAAATAGAGAATATGGAAGAGGAATTATCAGAAGCTTTCGCAGAAAGTTAGTGAAGTGTTTTTGAAGCAATCGATTGTATATATATGTGATTGATCGGTAGCCAGGCGGTTTGACGTGGGTGCTTTCTTCACTCACTCGAATTGACTGCCGTGTTGGTCGGTGGTTCAAGCCCTAGTCTGAACGATCGATTTTCACTTGTCCAACCCGTGTTAGGAATCACACTTTTTAAGATAAGACCTCGTTAATCCTTAGCCCGCACAAGTTTCGACTTCTGAGGGTTGTCGTTCGTAGGAGTGTTACACCTGGTTAACGGAAAATTTGAATCCCTACTTTCCCACTCACCTATATAAATTTACCCAAAACTAATGTGCCGTCCCGGCTCCGCACGGGTGCAATGCTGTAAAGGGACATATTGATCTGTATTGAATGCACAATGTATTCATCCAATGATAGAGTTAATGCTGTATTGCTTCGTAAACATAAAGGAAAATAAATGGTTATTGTGGGTTATTCCTAAGACAGGCATATATCATCACGGACTTTTTTGTAGACCTTTTTAATGTGTTCAATTCTGTAGTACATTATTTTGATCTATTTCGCAGGGTTCTGCCACCTTTTGTAATGTAAGCGCAAAAAATGTGTTTTTCACGACATCACATTAGAAATTAAAATTATAATTATCAATGTTTCTCTACTATATTATGCAAGTTATATACATATAACTCTTCCCCCTGAATCACTCTATCTATTAAAAAAACCCGCATCAAAATCTGTTGAATAGTTTTAAAGATCTGAGCAGACATAAGGACAGACAGCGGGAAGCGACTTTGTTTCATACTATACAATATTGACAAGCACGTTTTCCGATCACCAAAAATGCAATACTCTTCTGGATGCGCGAGTATTCCATTTCTGGTGATTGAGAAAAGTGCTTGTTTTAGATGTATTCTACGCCAGAGTTTCCAGTTTTACCTTTTATTGTGAATTATTTAAATGACGAAGACGTTAGTTTTTTTGACCGATGTAATCTTCAAGAGGAAGATCAAACAAAACAGATGATCACTTGGTGATCGAAACACGTGTCGAGGTGTTGAAATAACGGTTTGGTGTTGTGATAAAACTCCAGTAATATTATTTACTACACCAAAGGTTCCAAACAGTGCATCACAAGTACCTTGTCTATTGATTAACTTGGCAAAAAAAACTCCGTTTCAAGTCATTGAGTCATCGAATCTTTACTGTCTAGCTGAATGTTTAATGAACCAATACACTCATAATAGATAAAGTATTTGTTTGAAAAGCCGAAGGGTGTGAGTAAGCGACAGGGTGAAATAAACATTTCTTTCTTCTGACAAGCAGTGAACTTTCAGGCGCTAGACCATCCCCTGATTTGTTTATTTTTTCTGCTTTCGACGCATACTGTTACCCCTGACGAACACAGATGCATAATTTTTAGCGTTGGTATATTGCCTTAACGTTTTGATAATATCAGATATGTTTGTCATTAACTTAGTTAGTTAGTTAGTTTCAGTACCACTTCCTGATGATTGAACCATTTTTTAATTGTCTTAGTTCGTTTTTAATGATACGAAAACGACGTTCGTTTTGGCAGTTTTGTCACCCTCAGGTTCAAAAATATCGTAAAACTAGAAACACAGAAATGTAAAAAAAGTAACTTCACTTAAAATAAATGATATTTTGAATTTTCAGTGAGAGTATCACATTCAGTGTGTTCTTAAAAATATATTGCCGTACTGAGACAATGAATATAAAATGAAATACAAGAAAAATATATAAAGAGGTTTCAAAAGTAAGATGCAAAAACATTTGATCAAGTTTGAATGAAGAGGATTAGGGGCTATGTTAATCAAGTTGTTGTAAATATGAAATAAACCTTGAATATCACTTTCATTATTAACAGCATAGGAAGCATTTCCAGCAAACTTCTTCCGTGATAATCATATTCAGATACCTAACTGAATGAATTCATTAAATAGTCTCATCTGTTCAATTTCATTTTAAGATCCCATTATCTGAGGTAATGTTTCGTCCAAGTGCATATAAATGCAGTAAAATTGAGTTTAGTCATCTCCTGATGAAGGTAACTCAGGTAGCAAAAAGCATGTCGACACTATCACTTGATTAAACTTGGCAACAACGTAAAACTGATATTACATAATTGTCGACTTGTTTCTGAGGTCGATTTGATGGTTACTACTTTAATTAAGTAGCATCTCATCTCACGAAGAAAAGACCTTTTCCCAAATATCAGAACTGCAATAATCTTCTGAGAAGAGTATTTCAGTTCCGGTGTTCGGAAAGAGTGCTTGTTTTGAATTTCTTCTACGTCATAGGTTCCACTTTAACCTCTCAATTTTATCGAAGAGACATTTGAGTAAATGGAAAGAGGCATAATTTTTGGAGTCGTGATCAATATTTTGGGGAAGAAAGGTTTTGGAGTGCAAACTGAATAGGATCTTTTTTACAATTCAATGGTCATATAAAAGTACCTACTTGTTTCGAAAGTATTTTTTTTTTAGTGTAATTCAATGTTTATATGAAAGTAGTTGTTTCGGAGGGCTTTTTCTTCCAGTTTGTGTCAGAAAGTTACTCCTTTGCATGATCTACACATCTTTGTAATAAAATAATAATAATAATGTTTATTCACCACTCCTTAAACTCCTCAAGTTTGAGGAGTGCCTAGAAGATGACAGTACGACCAACTGTCGAAAGCGCTCGCAGATAATTAATAGAAGGTATAAAGCTTCAAATCTTTTTTGTGAAATTTAATATTGAAATACTGAAAATAAAAGAAAATTAGTTGCATCATTCAAAAAAAAATAACCTAACAAATAGCCTAACAAATAAAACATATTTGAGAATGAAGATGAAGGGAGCTGTCAATATTTTTTTGTCTATAAAAACGGGCCGGCAGCTATCCCGGAAATCCATATTGAACATCAGCCTCATGATGCGTTTCTGTGCTATAAAGACTCTGAAAAAATCTCTTGCTCTGTCCCAAGCCATAATATTCAAACTTATATGAGAGTACGCCATGACATAATATAATGTGATTAAGCCACTTTCATCCAAACAGGATTTCAGCTGTTTTATGGCATAATATGCTCTATTTAGCTTAGCACATATATAGTCCACCTGCCTATCCCAATTTAGATTGGCGTCTAGGTAGGTCCCTAAAAAATTTATTTCTTCAGAAGTTTGAATATTATAGCTAGAGCGTCGACCAATTGGAATATTTCTTCTGAAGTGGAAGTTAACACTGATCGATTTGGAAGTATTTAGAATACGCTTATTTCTTTGGCACCAGGTACTGAACTGATCAGTAATGTGTTCAGATTTGCTGATGAGTTTCTCAACATTATTGCCTGCTATAGTTATCGTTGTATCATCAGCAACATTGTGACGTAGCCTCCCTTTATATGTTGAGGAAGATCATTGACAGGGAGAAGAAATAGTAGAGGTCCTAGAACAGAGCCCTGTGGCACCCCGAGTTTTACCGTCTG